GGCGGGGGTGGATGGGGTGGGGGGTGTTGGGGGAGCAGGGAGGAGGAGTGGTTGCGTGCAGCTGGCAGGAGACAGCAGACAAAGCGGCACCTGTGAACGCTGTTGCTGGGCGCCACGGGCAAGTGCACACCCCCAGACTGCACGTTGGGACTTTGATGCCATGCCGGCAGAGACCAACTCAGGCACAGCGGCGAGGTCTCGCCTTGAGCATGTCTTCTGATGGGTCCACCTCCCCGCCATCTGCCGGGAACACGGTTGGCACGCCCCCAACACGCTTCACGGCCAGGACGCCTGTAGCAAGCCGAGGTGGAGGCTGGGGTGATTTTGCAGGCGGCGGGGCACATGGGGTGGCAACGTTCCGCGAGCAGCCGGTACGCACTCGCTACCTGCGAACGGCTTGCACTTATAATCACAACCGAAAGTGAGAGGCACCCGCAAGTGTGCAGCTATGCTAGCAGCATTTCCATGCCAACCACGACATGGGGAGTCATCAAGTAAAGTCAAAGGTTTTTCCCCCAAAAGCCGTACGGCATGACAGGCATGCTTTGTGAAAGCAAGCGGCCGCGCCCGCACCCGGCCTGCTGCCACAAACCTGGCAGGCTGTATTTGGTGCTGTCGGTCTTGGGGGCCTTCATGACGTCACGCTGACGGCCGTCCGCGTAAACCATGTGCGCCAGCTTGGTCGCGAAAGACATGGTGTCGCGGTTGACCTGCGGGCGCAGGTGTGCGCGGGTGGGGAGGGGGAGGGTCGGGAGGGGGAGTGACCAGGATTGAACACCGGGGTGACAATCTGTGTGTGGGATTGGGGGTTTGCCTGGAGTTGCAGCCGGCTCGGGCGTGGCGCAACGGACCAGCAGCTCTACTGTGCGTGCCTGTGTTGACGGTTTCACGATGTGACAGGATCCGCGTTGCCGCACCACTGACCTGAAACTGCATGCATGGGCATGGCAGGCTCCATGCTGTGCAAGGGTTGAACGAGAGCACAGCGGGGCCGACTAAGAAAGCGCGCCTTTTGCAGCAGCCCGCCGCCCATGCCAAAGGCCACGCATTCCGCGCTGTAGCCAGCCTCCAGCACTGCATCAAGGATGGCCTGAGAGATGGGTCGAAACAGCGTCCCGTTTGCATGCTTCGTGAGAGCAGCTGGCCTGGTCGCCGGATTTAGGGCTGCGAATGCGTGTCGAGGGCCGAAAGCCGCAGGCGCAGGTGCGCAAAGCGCAGCTCCGCGAAGTGGTTCTTGCGCGATAATTTGAAGCAAGGCCACCTGCACGACACCTTCCTCCAGTCAACGTGCCAACATCACATGCGTCACACTAAATAATTCACCTGCAGCGTTACGATGTCGATGCCATCGCCCTGGATGACGCCCGCCCCCCTTATCATTTTGAAGCCCTTCGAGTTGACGTCAGCCCCGAACACCTTCTCAGCAGCGCGAAGGCCCTGCAGCAAGAGTAGTGGTTTGGGCGCAGTGGGTGCAGTGAAGGAGAGCTGTTGCTGAGGGTGCAAGGCACGCGGCATGCATGCAGATCCATATTCTGAACCCCAAACCCTTGTGGACCAGGCCGTGCAAATCAGTGCAGCTCCCCAGGCTACTTTCAGCCAAAATGAGAGGCCAGCAAAGCCTGAGGCCAAAAACATGTATGACACGACCTCCTTGGCCTGGACCATACCCCCACCCCAGCTCCCCGCGCAACCGTCAGCCTAGCGACCAGCATACCCTTGGACAACGCCACATAACATACACCCCCCCCCCAAAACCCACTGTCAATGTAACCCTGGGCCCAGACGTTGACCTTCAAATATCAAACCAGCCCTCACCATGAGCACCACCTCAACAGGGTCGCCGCTGTCCGGCCGCAACACCATGTAGCCGCCCTTCTCCACCTGTCAATTGCAACTCAGAATGTTTCGGCGTGCGTATGCCATGCGCATAGTGCAGCTGCATGCCAGCAGCTGGCTGGCATGGAGGTTACGCTGCTGGCTCTGTCCCGCGAAAATGGGGCGTGCAGAGCCTGCATCGCGCCACAGAGCGCAACAGGCTTCGCAGCTGCCACGCACGGCAGAGGCAGGCGGCCAGGCATGCGCCCGGCGTGCGCCCACCTTGCGCGCCGCGATGGAGGGCAGCACCTCGCTCAGGGCGGCCGCGTAGTCATAGCTGTCCATGACGCACGCAAACAGGCCGGTCCCAAAGTGCTCCACCATGTTCAGTATTGCGGCCGCCTGTGGGAGTGGCAGGTGCAAATTGAGGATCGCATGGGCGGGGGCGGGGTGAGCAGTGGTGGCTGGGTGGGTATGCGTGGGTGGGTGGGCATACCTGAGCTGCAATGCATGTGTACTGCAGTGCGTGCATATCAACGTGTGTACGTGCGTGCGTGTGTTGGCGTGAGCACATGTGGGGTGCATGTGTAGGTGGGCGCGGGATGGTATGCAAGGCAGGCAGCAATTGAGAGCGTCACGTACGCATCAGGCTCTGCACGTGTGCTCAGCCACCGCTTGGTGCAACTAAGGTGGGGCAGAGGTGACTTCCTTTGTTGATGACAACGGCTCACCTCATCCGGCCAAGACGTCATCACGCTGTGCTCAGTGGCTGGGATGCTGTTGGCCACAGGGCGGCCGCCGTTGAGGTGGAACTGGATCAAAGCATAAGCCATGGATGTGAGAAATCACACGTGAGTGCGCATGAGCTTGCATACATGTCACAATTTTAATGCGTCTGCACACATGCAAATGCATACAGGCGCTTGTGTGCGCAGGCAAGAGTGCGTACACACGTGTGCACATGTGTGTGTGTGTGTGTGTGTGCGTGTGTGCGCACGGGCGCGTGCGAACGTGCGTGCGTGCGTGTGTTTGTGTGTGTGTGTGTGTGTGTGTGCACGCGCGCGCATGTGTGTGTGTGGGCGCGCATGCGTGCGCGTGCGCGAGCGTTCAGATCACAGGCACATTTGTGTGTACCTGCGCGTAGTAGGCTGCTGACATGGTGTCAGTCCCTTCAAAGTTGAGGAGGTGCGCGCAGCCGCCCACCACCGCCTGCTCGGGGGTGGTGCACCCCCTGGGGTTGGGTTGAGCGGAGGTGGCGACCTGGGTCAGCAGAGACACTTTAGTGAGATGCACCCCACCAATGGGGTGTGCGACGTGCATGCCATGGCTGAGCAGATGCGATCGGGGGGTTATAGACACCCTCTGATGCACGCGTACCTGCACGAGGCAGGCATGAAAGCGGGATGGACCTGCAAGCAGGCGTCATGCCGCACCTGAACCCGAAGTCGTGCAGCCGGCTGCCCAGCAGGGGGCTCGCCGCGCCGCCCTCCACGCTCGCCTCGAAGGCCGCCGCGATCGCGTCCCGCGCGCGGCGGCTGAGGGTGGCCACCGTCGTGGGGTACCAGGCCATCGTGAGGAGAGTCTCAAGGAAAGTGCAGAGGGGCGCGTACTCGTCCTCCGAGGTGATCTGGGAGGAGTGGCAGGAGAGAGGCGCGACATCGGGCCTGTCGAGGCGGCAAGGATGTGTTGCTCGGATTGTACACGGAGCGGCCGCGTTGCTCGCCGGAGCAGCTGCCGGCCAGGGCAACAGCTGACGGGGCCGCACGAGGGGAGCGGCAGGGCGTCGGGTCGCGAGCGCGCGCGGGGCGAGCGGGTGTTGCGCGCGGACGCGCCTGGTAGACGGGAATGTGGGCGTGCACCGCGCTGCCCTCTGGCAGCGCCTGGATCTTCACTGGGAAGTAGCCGTCGTTCTCAGTCACAAACTTGGCGAAGAGGTCGCGCGGGAAGGGGTATCTGGTGTAGGCGGGCGCCATGAATGTGCTGTGGTGGGGCGTGGGGGCAGGGTGGGCAAAAGCGGTCAGAGGTGGGGTTGCACGGAAAGGGGGAGGCTCAAGGGGGGCGGCAACTGTGTGACGGGCGTGCAAGCAGGGGCGCACGCACGCAACGACACACACGCACGCCACACGCGTGCACACAAACACGCGCGCGCGCGCACTCACACCCGCGTCCCCCGCTTTCTTTCTGTCACACACACACAGAGGC